CTCTCTCTCTCCCCCACACACACACACACACACACGCACACACACACACACACACACACCCCCACACACATTCCTCCAGAGTTTAAACGTTAAACGTCGGCAACGGTTTACAATTAAGCATCGTGAAAAAGACAGTCGCAATAGAGAGAGAGAGAGAGAGAGAGAGAGAGAGAGAGAGAGAGAGAGAGAGAGAGAGAGAGAGAGACGGCGCGAATACATCCCTACGGATATTGTCAAATCAACAAAATGAAGACAGGTGTCTTCAACCTCAATGCGCTTAAATCGGATTACACGACGCCTCTTCGCATTCGCAATCAGTCAACCTGTCCTGTAGCCAACGCACCTCTCCCGATGGCGATGGCGATGGCGATGACGATGGCGATGGCGATGGCGAAGCGATGGTGATGACGATGGCGACGGTGATGTGATGGCAACTGCCAACTAGTACGCCGATATCATAATGATGACCTTCTTAGCTTGCATGTAGATTTTGCGCGCCTTTAGCTTCATTGCGTGTAGATTCCATTGCGCGCCGTGGCTTGGTTGAGCCATTGCGCGCCGTGGATTCATTGCGCGCCGTAGCCTGGTTGAGCAATTGCGCGATTACCGAAAGCCATTCGCGGAATTGAGGAGTTCCAAACAAAATCAGGGCACACTCGCAATAGGAAGTTTTATAATCCGCTCTGTACGTAATTACGGTCAGATTCATCCTGGAAAGGCCCTAGTTACGGTCAAGTACATCCAAATGCTTGCGTGACTCTACCTCGACTGTGGGGGGTTTTACTGTATACTTTGCCCCAAGTGTGTACAGAAATAACATTATTTTCCAATTAATCCAAAAAAAAAAAAAAGAGCCAGGAGACGTATATTATCATCATCTCCAAAAATAAACCCAAATTCGAATTAAACGAAAAAAAAGAAAGTCGACGAAATAAAGTCCATCGTTTCCAAAAATAATTCACAAAAGTAATTTCCAAATATAATTTCCAAAAATAGTCTCCAAAAATAATTTCCAAAATCAAATGTATTGAATTGGAGACACCTTTGGACACACCAGCCAGAAAAAAAAAAACAAAAAAGGAGACGCCTTACATTTCCCGGATATTGGTTTTGATTCAAGGAGAAGTCGTTTTCTAAAATAAAAATTAAAATTAAAAAAAAATGGGGATTTTACGAGCGGACGTCGAAGCGTCGTCTCCGTCCATGCGCCCTTAACTTTAAAACAAAAGAAAATCGTTTATTAGATTCTCCTTTTATCTTTAAATTCTTAATGATAGATTTCATTTCGATCCTCGTGTACCGGACTCCTCATTGGTTAACAATTCTTATCCTTCCATTCTTTTCTCTTTTTTATCTGTAACTTTAATTTAACATTATCCTTCTTCTCTGTTTTCTTTTTTTATACTCTATTACAAATATAAATGTCGACATAAATGTATATATAATAAATGTATATATAATAAATGTATATATATATCGTCATATCGACATCGTAAATACTAGGATAAATGGCATCTGCCCACATAGGTTTTCGGTAATGGAAAATGGATTATGAATTATTCGTGAATTTCAATTAATTAATTGACGCCACAAATTATAGCTAATACTCATCGCGTAAAAGTCACAAAGGAGAAAATTCAGGAAGCAAATACTGTACCAGCAGCACTAGCAGTGCAGGGGGTGTGTGTAAAAAATAAATTAAAAAAATCAAAATTTGAGGGAGCAGATACTGGATCCGGAGATCCCAACAGACCTGAGGCCGAAGAGGAGATATGGCGTCGAAGCACAACCGGCCTGGCCGCCATAGCCACAGAGATTGCATCTCGCTGACACGCCGACGACGACGTCGACGAAGACGAAGGGCACCAACTGCTACACCCGTCCACCATTCCCCGCGCGCCCATCCTTCCGGCGATGGATGCGCCCTCTTCCATAAAGGAAGAACGACTCGGCCGCGAACAGATGTAGAAAGCCGGAGCGGCCATAGGCGCAACCCCCACTGTCGATGCCATTCTGTCAACCCCCCCCACCCCACCCCCTCTGTGTGTGTGTGTGTGTGTGTGTGTGTGTGGGATTGCGTGCAGAGTGCGGAGATCACTGCACACCTAGAAGCGAGTTCAACTGCGGAAGCTATGGCTGCGGTCCTGGCATGTGCACAGCAGGTAACAAAACCTCCCTTCCTCCCTTCTCTCCCTGTCGGTATATCTCGCGTCTTGAGCAAAGTCGACGATCACACGAAGACAGCCAGCCGAGAACAGCCTGAGGCTTCGCCGTCGCCTTCTCTGTCCCCTGCTCACTGTGCGGGCGGTCTCCCGCACACCCTCTCTCTTTCCCCGTCACTCCCTCACTGCTCGCCAAGCGTGACCAATCGCGATAGCGCGCCTTGCATGTGCGCCGTGCGGTCGCCCTCGAGGAAGAGAGAGAGCGTCCGCACCCACGCGACCAGAGCGCGACAACTTGCGCCTCTGTGCCGCTGCGGGTGCGACACTGTTGGCTCCCACTGCAGATGTAGGGAGCGAACGAGGGGCTGAGCGAGCACGAAGACGCACAAAGAGGAGAAATCGAGATTCTGTGCGCGCGCGCGCGCGCACACACACACACACACACACACAGAGAGAGAGAGAGAGAGAGAGAGAGAGAGAGAGAGAGAGAGAGAGAGAGAGAGAAATGGGAGGGGAGAGAGGG